AAAATGGTATTTTAGCATATCCCTTATTTAGTTTTGCTATTCTTGGTAAAATAAGTCAATAAAATAAGGAAACAAAATATATCATGCAAAAGTGAGATATGCCATACAATTTAAGGAAACACAATTATATTCCAAATCAAATACCAAAGTAAGAAGATTTCATCAAAATAAGGATGAACACTTCAAATAATTCATCACAAATTTTAAGAAAGTAATTTTATGGATTAATTTCGAAAAACTTAGATCTTAATTTTAAGGAAAAGTAATGCCGATTTCCGAAACTAATGCTGTTTTAATCTCACCGGAAGAAAGAAACGTGATTAGGGAGAAACAAAAGGTCATGTAATGGAAATCTTGAAAATTGATTTTGGTTTTCCCAAGTTGAGATTCCGTTTTGCAGTGAAAAAAACAAAGCCACAAGTGTATTATTGTGGGGACACCATTATTGATCTAAATCGGAAAACAATTCAAACGGAAATTTCACAGTTCATAATATCCGATTACAGTTCAGGGAAAATAAAAGGAATTGATTTATCAACATAATGCTCTGATACCACATGTTGATCAATTCTTAAAAAAAAAATATAAATTAGGGATTTAATCATGTGTACCTGATAATCCTGTAAATGTAGTTAGGGATGAAGCCATGATTCTCACGCAGATCGGGTTCCCGTTTAGGGTGTATCGTTATGATGGCTAAGGTGAGGATGAGACTCACGAGAATAGAGAGGCAGAGAGAAGGCGTAAGATTGGTGTGTTGATCTCTGCCTAATGACCTCTATATATATACACCCAAAGGGAAACCCTAATTAGGTCATAAGGGTAATTACGTCCATCGAATAATTACCAATTAAGTACGTAGGGTATTTATTAGGTCAATGATCATTTAATTAGGTAAATGATAACTCAGGCCACATAATAAAATCGTGTCTAACATGTAGTTCTATAATATCACTATGAATTATCTCTCTATTAAATATTTATTGTGAAAAAATTTACATTATGCACAGATTTGATTATATTAGGTATTTCCAAACTACACTTCAAAACTTCACCAAAAGATATCTTGATGATCTTAAACCTAGCTTGAACACACATAAAACCTCACATCAAGGAAATTAAAGTTTTAATTAATAAAAATTATTAATCACTAATCCAATTTGCAAAACAAATCTAAGTTTCTTTAAAAAAAATTCTGTGTAAGAGTATCCATCTTTGCAAAATTCTGTGTAAGAGTATCCATCTTTGCAAAATTACTACAAAATAGAGGAAGTAATTAAACCTTTTCTTAGATATAGTTAAACTTTTCTCCAAAAATCAATAAATAGTTTATTTATATTATTTTTTTGCATGAATTTTTTAAATACATTTCTTTATTTGTTTAACACTCAAATAAATAATGTGTATAATATTTTTGTTTCAATGTATGAATCTGGTTAAAAATTTAACTTGAATTTTTATATTAGAGAAATTGTATTCAAGATTATATTCTATTTTTTACTTTATAAACAGTAAATGAAAATATTATTCTCAATGTTTTGTATTCTTACCTCTTGCCGTGTTTTTTCTCTGTGACAACATCTTTAGAATGCAGAATTTTGAAGATGAGGACATGTTGTGGAAGATATCAATTTGGTTCTGTATTTATTGTGTAGAAATTGGTTCTACCACATAGTCATTAATGACATTTGAGATACAGACTGACAAAAGATAAAGAAAAGATTTGTAAAATCTGGTTATTAAATGTTGATTTGAGATAAAGTGGACTACTTACTTTATGGTGTGTGGCTCCATGCCATACACATTTACCCATATGCATGGCACACACACTTGCCTATAAAACCCATTGAGTCATGTCGCCGCCCTACGCATGGCATTTTTTTCATCATCACCATAAAAACCGAAACTGTTCAAGGGATGCTCCCGTCTTCACTCTGTTCAAGGGCTGCTGCTGTCCTCACAATGTCCAAGGGTTTCAGAATTCACATTTTACAGAAAATTTAACCTTTAACAGGCTAGAATTCTCAGCCCATTACCTTGCAGCTTAAAGCCCACTAAATTGGCCCAATAAAAATAGGCAGGAACACTGTTCACAAATTGCACCTAGCATTGTATATAGAAGGATAGAGAAGAGATAGAGATTACTCAAAATAGGAAAAAAAAATAGTCTTTATTTCGAGATAGAAAGACATGTTTTTACCCTAAATGAAATCATTGCAGTTGATGGTGTAAATTACTTGACCGGTCAAACTATACTGGACCGGGTCTAGAATAGTTTGCTTGATTCGACAAAGTAAGAAGGGTAAAACACGCAAACTGACCGGTAGGACTTTAGGTGGAACACCTGTAGCCCAGTTTATATTATAACGGAGAATGCACGGGTGCTTTTACAAGGGAGTTTAGAGGAAATGAATTCGGATCCCTCTTTCTGAGGTTTACACGAGTATTTATACTAGGCTATGGGGGACAAGACCACGTGCGCCCACGTGGGGGCACGATGCTGATGTGGTGCGAGGTGACTGGTTTCGTCCTTGAGCTGCCTTGTCGCCTTGTGAGGGGAATTATTCCCTTTGTCGAGTAGTGCCTTGGA